AGGAAATGCTCAGAATGGGAATATGTATACCAGAGCGGTAAATCGAATGCGTTTCCTTCTGATATTGATTCTAGTGATTAAATGTAAAATATTCTGATTGGTTTAGTGTTTGATTTGTATCCTTCATAGACTGCTGGAATTATTTACATTTTATATATTTTATGTATTTTAAAATTTTTCTTTTAATATATGTTTTGTTGCACATCACTTTCACATGGCAAAACAATGCCATATCTATGGCATTGAAAAACGATTCATTTTCCATTACTATGTATGTTAAAGGAATAGTTCACCTAAAAATAAAATTTTGCTGAAAATGTACTCGCCCTCAGCCCATCCAAAATGTACTGATGTGATACCAAATTTCTTCAAATCTGTTCAGATGGAAAAACAAAACAAAAACAAGCCTGTCTACTTCTTGGTTGACCTCAGGTTTAGTAAATGTTAAGCACATTTTCTTTTATGGGTGACCTATTCCTTTAATATATTGTATATTTTTCAGGGATGCAGCATGGGAACTAGAGGAAAATGCATATGGAGATTTATTGCAAGTGTATCAGCACTGTGATGCTGTGAATTGTCGCAGTCAGAAAGGTCGTAAATATAGCTCACAGTCAGGGTAATTAGAGCATTTGATTTAGTCATTCTGAAATCATGAAATTTCAATCGGTTTGTTTTTGAAAAGGATTCTAACTATTGTTAAAATTTGCTTTACAGGTGTTTTGAAATTGTTCGCTGCAAGTTGTGTGGATCTAGGGGAACTCATCGAAAATGTTCCAACCTTAAGCTTTACGAAAGCGACTGGATCTGTGCTGACTGTACAGCTGCTGTTGAGGGAAAAAGTGAGCTATCTGAACTTTTGTTTAAAATGTGCTTGTGTAGAATTATTCCAAAGTTACATGCATGGATTGTTTTTCTCTCCCAGAGTCAGTGTGATTGCCAAACTATGTTGAATAGGCAAGAGAGGAAGCTGCTGTTTAAAAACATCTCTGACTTTCATTCTTCACTCATCAGTAAAAGGTACTTTCCTAATCAATTGCATCTGATATGAGTAGGAGATGTTCTAGATTATTTCAACTTAATGTCTCATAATACCATAGAAGCTGTGTGCTGATTGTAAAGCGTCCTTGTGCTTTTGGAAGAGCTCTATGTTGAAATCTATTATTACTTTTTAATCATGATGATTATTATTAATCTAATTGAATTTATTCAAATAAATTATTTGATCATCATTATTATTGTTTTATGAACTACTTTATTATAATAAGAATACAATTTTATTATAATATACTAATATATACATTATTATAATAATAATAATTTATTATTATTATTATTACTTTTCCTTTAGATTCCTTTAGATTTCTGAATTCAGTCTCTATTCCACCTTGAACAAAACGCATCTAAAACCCAACATGAATGAATTCCGTGGTGTTGCAGCACTCGAACAGAATCAATTCTAGCGCTTCCTTTGGATCATGATTTTTGCTGTATTTTGGTGTAGTAGCAGCTCTCTCATTGTATTCTAGGCAGTGTGTGCCAGCCACTTCTCCAGAGGTCTTAATGGATCTGGCCTGTCAGATATCACAGCAGCAGACCACAGAGGTGCTAGTGGAAGATGATGATGGGGTGTTGGAAGCAGCTCTGCAGGTTCTGCGGCAAAGTGACTTTAATCCCTGCTGCACTCTTTCTGTGAAATTCTCCAAAGACAAACTAAACAACAACATTAGAAATCAGCGTCGCTTCCTCCGACATCTTGTTTCGAAACTGTTGATGTCAGAAATCTTGAGGGACCTGATGGAGCCAAAAACCTTGCTCTGAACTCAAAAGGTAAGACACTTTTTTTGTTTTGATTTCCAGAAATTTACCATTTCTGATCCTGACTTATACAGGACCTCTCACTGTTGACAACTTAGGTGGCCTTCAAAATTAACAGTTGTTGTGTGTGAACAGCTCTGAGGGATGATCTCTACTTTGAAGTCGGCAGTCTGTTGGCCCTCTCTTTGGTTCACGGAGGTCCTCCTTTGGGCTTCTTCTCTCCAGCACTGTACCATAGTCTGTTTAACTACCCCACAAACTACAGACCTACATTACAAGACCTTGGAGACACTGCTTTTGCACACAAAATCAGACAGGTGAGTTTTGTTTTTACTTGCACTGTACTTTAAAACTGCTGTTGCACTGAGACACGTGATTATAGTGAACCAAGTGGTTGCTGTACACCTGTTAAACTCTGAGTGCACTTTTAGATCGCAGAAGCAAACTCCATGAAGGAGCTGAGATGCGCAATGCAGTCAGCATCACAGTATTTGGAAGCAGCAGGTTGCTGGCGAAACATCAGCAAACCCCGCAGAGAAGGACATGTTAGTGGAGGATGTACTAAATTTCTACCTGATCATCAGACTACAGCTGCCTCTGCAGAGGTTGGTACCTTAACTTATTCCTATGGTGGAAAATACTAAGTCTTCAGTGTCACATGTTCCATCAGAAATCATTCCAATATGCTGACTTGGTGCTCAATAAACTTTTTTTTACTGTTATCAAAACTGAAAGCAGTTGTGCTGCTGAATATTTTTTTGCTGAAACGTGATGCTTTTTTTCAGAATTCTTTGATGAATAGAAAAGTTCAAAAGAACAGTATTTATCTGAAATATAATTTTTTGTAACAACGTAAAAGTCTTTACTGTCACTTTTGTGATCAATAAAGCATCTAAATTAAAGTATTTATTTTTTAAAAATCTTACTAAGAAAACTTTTGAATGGTAGTGTATACAGCTGATACGTTTAATGCTTTTTTCCTCACTTTTCTCACTGTAGTAAATGCTCATTCAAGTGTAATCGCCTTTCTCAGATTTCATGAAGGTTTGAGGACACTAGGACTGTTTGAGCAGGTTCAGATGTGTACAGAGGCTTTCCATTCAGTCTTCTGTGGGCCTGTGGAAAGGTAAATCAGTCAAGGAGCTCTTTACAGTCCAGTTTTCAGAAGAAAAAGACAACACAACATTAAACTTTTGGAAAAAGTATCTGCATGAGTGTGACGGTATGTTCGCTACAGAATTCATATTGTGTGTTGGAAGAATTTAGATTCTTGTGTATATTCTAAAATTTCTAATAATAAAATATGACATTAAGATGTGTTAGAAAACAAGCTGTTATTTGCATGATCATCACCTTTGGCTTGTGTTTCAGAGGGTCGGTGTGCAGCATCACTCAAGGACCTCCTAACATTTGCCACTGCTACAGATTTGGTTCCATCCATTGGATTCCATCCCACTCCCTCTATTTCATTCTTCAGCTCATCAGACCCCTCGTGCGCCTTTCCTCAGAGCCACTGTGATGCCAATCATCTCATTCTGCCAATACTACCCTCCTATGAGCTATTCAAGAAACACTTGGATTACACAGTGTGTCAGTTCTCAGTTATGCAGGACATTTAAAAAAACTCTTCTCCTGACTGGATATTTCAGTATGTTTACAGCGTAGATTTACCTAATGATCTACAATGGTCTATTTATTGGGGATATTGAGTGTTATATAAACAGTATTTTTCAACCTAACTCACGTTAAAATTACTTGATCATAGATTGCTCAGTTAATTATAAGTCCATTTGAATCCCTCATCAGAAAAGAAAGACATTTTAACAGCTTTGCTTTGAGCTGCAAAGCAATACATGTTCCACAATCTTAGATGTGATAAGGTTGTTCTTTGTGTTTTCAACAACAACAAAAAAAAGAGTTTTTCTTGTAAATTTAGTTGCACAGGTCAGAAGTGCAAAGGTTATAGCTAGTAGTGTGGCCAAAGTTTCTACTATTGAGTAGTTTTGTGTTCTGTCGAACAGCATGGGTATTTAGCAGTAATGGGAATTTGATTTGATTGATTCATTTATTTTTTTAATAGAAAAACAGTTCACACAATAACAACAGGTTGTAATTTTTTGGTAGCCACAAGATAGTGCAATTGTCAATTATTATTATTTATTGTTTTGCCCTAAAATGGCTAACTGCTGCCACTATATGAATCAATAGTTACTGAGATGAATGATCTCACTGTTTTGTGCCAGAGACTCATGTTAGAAACATACAGAAGCTGGTATGCTTTAGTTTTTGTATAATGTTTTATTTCTCCAGAAGTAGTTTAAGAGTGTATGATAGTTTGCCAGCTCTATATCTGTCATAATTTATTAAACTTTTTACTTTTCTGTTACCCTCAGTGTTTTCCCCCTTGATTTATTAAATGATTGCAGATCTAGTAGTTTTAATACTAGTGAACAATCTAAAAGATAGTCTGAAGAAATTTTGTTAGTGCTAAGTTGTAAAAAGTATGACAACTGTTTATGTTGTAATAAATTTTTGGAAAAACTGATAGCAATATATCAGTTTAAGTGGTTTATGATTGTCACTCCTTGGATCATAATTAAACATGATAATGAATAGTTTTACAATGGATTTTCATAGTCATGCATGAAGTCCATATATGTCTATGGGTCTAAAAATCACAGTTGAAATATAATTAAAATTTGAATCATTTTAAGATCCCTTTGGAAATTCACTAAGGACCCCTAGAGGCCCTGGCCCCCTGGTTGAGAACCACTGACATAAAAATAATTAAAAACTTTTGATCCATCCAACAACTTTGAATCAATCGTAAATTTGAGAGGACCAAACCAAAACCCCCAGATAGTGTGCACCTCAATCATCTCTGTGTGTCAGTGATCATCTGTGTCAGCGTGCGCGTTCTTGTACAACATACAGAACTACCAAATTTTGCTATAAGTTTGATTGCATCATATAATAATTGTTTGATTACGTCTTTAATTGATTTTTCGGTACATTTCTGCCATATGTACATTAACTGACAGTCACCACTGATAAGCTACTACTAAATATTGTAGAAACTTAATTTGCTGTAAAGTTGCTTTGCAACAATTTGTATCGTGAAAAGCGCTTTACAAATAAACTTGAATTGAATTGAATTGAATTGAATTGTACGCAGACAGCGCTTCGCCGTTGCCACGTCACCCTCACAGTCGTCGTCACTGCATAAACAGTAAAGATGGCGGCCTCCGTCCGGGAGAAACAGACAGGTTTGTTCAGAAGTTGGAATTTATATGGAAACTCTCGGTACTGTTAATATAATTGATAATAGTGATTTTCACGCGGTTTTTAAAACGTTTTTATTTAAAATACATGCAATAATACCGAATTCATAACAGCTGAAATTGTACAGTCCTGTCAGTGTAGCTGAGGATGCTAACTGTGTTGTTCATTTAGCAGCTGCATAACATCAGATGAATGGACTATTATCCTGCTTGACTAGATAAAGAAGCACTTGCGGTTTGATGACTACATATAGCCAACCAGCTCGTTTATGAAATATACGGCTATCAATATCCCAGAGACCTGTCATAAGCAACCCACGATATGAATTCACATGCTAGCTAAAGTGACTTAACGTAAATCATTATTCTTAATATTTAGCGGCACAAAATAGCGATGATTATTATGTTATATGGATACTGTTTTATGCTGAGCTTAATGTTCATGTTTTCTGACATTGCCATTAATGGATATTGACACTTGCTGTGTAGTTGCTACTGTGAGAAATCATATTCGTGTTTTAATGAATGTGCAATAGATCATTTGTTGATTAAAAATGGATAGCGTGTGGATACTGTATAAAATACATAATCTTACGATAGGAAAAAAAATGTAGGACTTTTTCTGGTCAAATCCTGCCAACGCATGTAGGCTTCAATTAATTAATTAATTAATTTATTTATTATAACATTTTTTATAAAATGACTTTTTTATTCATACACGCAAGTCTTTTGAAACACAATCAAGTAAATTAGTCTCCTGGCGATAATACATGATTTTAAGTAGTAATAGAAGTTATTAAAAATGTTTATGTATTATATTTCTATGATCTTTCTGTCCTCAGCTGCTTTGAAGCGAATGCTCAACTTCAATGCCCCACCTTTGAAAAACACAACAGCTGAGCCGGTATGGAAGGTAAGGGTACGCAACACACACCTATGGGTTTACCCTTCCACTATCCAATGCTTTTTTTTAAATGTGGCTCAGGGATGCTTTTATAGTTATAATTTGCTTGAACATTTACCCTTTGTTATTCTTGTTAGGTTCTTATTTACGATCGCTTTGGCCAAGACATCATATCTCCCCTGCTGTCTGTGAAAGAGTTACGGGACATAGGCATCACTCTGCACCTGTAAGGACCTCTAAGGTTTTATTTATTTATATATTTATTTAAAGAAAAAGATTTGATTTGAATGATTGTTTACTTTTTGTTTGTTTCCTCTAGCTTGTTGCACTCAGATCGCGACCCCATTCCAGATGTTCCTGCCATTTACTTTGTAATGCCCACAGAGGAGAACATTGACAGGATATGTCAAGTAAATATGTTCACTGAATAATTAGTCAGTCCATCTTTTTGTCAGTCCCGTTCCAGGACAATTTGTGAAGATCACACTATTTCAAAACTAAAAGTTATTTTCGCTTTTACAGGACCTCCGAAACCAACTATATGAGTCCTACTATTTGAACTTCATCTCCGCAGTCTCTAGAAGCAAATTGGAGGACATAGCAAGTGCTGCTCTAGCAGCTAATGCTGTAAACCAGGTGACCAGAGTAAGTCAAACACATTTGTTCATTGTGAGTGTTAGTTGTAAATTTAAATCAGTTTGCTACAGCATTTAATTAAACAATCTTTTTTTTTATTTTTTATTAAAGCTTGTTTTTACTAAACAGACGAGCTCTGTGAATTCCTGAAGGAAGGCAAATAATGTACTGCTCATTTTCATTATACAGTTCAAATATTAGACTCTTCTGTTCCTCAGGTATTTGATCAATATTTGAACTTCATCACACTTGAAGATGATATGTTCATTCTCTGTAATCAAAACAAAGAACACATCTCCTACCACGGTAAGCTCTTAGAGTGGCTTGAAGTGTTGACTTCATGTTTGTTTCATTTGTAATCTGAATGTTATTAATGGTAATATTGTTCTGTGCCCTCAGCAATCAATAAACCAGATATCATGGACACAGACATGGATGGCATAATGGACACAATAGTGGATAGTCTCTTCTGCTTTTTTGTCACTCTTGGTAAATTTTTATCCTTCCATGCATATACACTGCTGTTCAAAAGATTTTTAGAATGTTTTTAAAAGAAGTCTATTATGCGCACCAAGGCTCCATTCATTTGATTAAAAATACAGTAAAAACAGTAATATTGTGAAATATTATTAGAATTTTAATATATTTTAAAATGCAAATTTTTCATGCAAGGCAAACTAGTTTTCAGCAGCCATTACTCCAGTCTTCAGTGTCACCTGTTCCTTCAGAAATCATTTTAGTATGCTGATTGAGTGCTCAAGAAACATTTCTTATTTTTTTCAATGCTGAAAACAGTTGCTTGTTAAATAGAAACTTCAAAAGTACAGCATTTATTTGAAATAGACATTTTTGCAAGACTATAAATGTCTTTACATTCACTTTTGACAATTTATTGCATCCTTGCTGAATAAAGGTTTTTATTTATTTATTTATTTTTTTAACTCTTTTATTTATTTATTTTTTTAACCCTAAGCATTTAAGGGTAATGTGCACTGTATAATGACTTATGAGTTAGAAGCATTTATTTGTAAATATTTCTATGCCACTGTCAGCACCAAATTAAGTATCAGAATTAATGTCTGATCATTCCAAACAGGTTCCCAATCACTCCCTCTGTCTTCCCTTGTTTGGACAAACAGGTGTTCCCATCAGAGCCACACTCTTGATTACTCTCTTCAAGGGAATCAAACAACAAATGGTTTACTTGTAGTTGTCTGTATATTAAGCTGGCAAAAACCTTATTCACCTTTAAAGATTCTTTAGCACATAAATGGATAATACTCAGTTTTTCTTGCTTACTGAAATCTTGTGCTAAGACACAATCCATTCCTCATATGGAGATTTTCTCTGCTTTTTAATCCAGCTAAAATCTAATAAGGCAACATTCTTTCATGGTACAAGAAGTAGCTGTGAGAATTATATATTGACGAAGACTTGATACTTAAATCAAAATTAAAGAGCAGGATTTTTTAATAATAATTCTCACATTTCAACCATTTAGTTAAGTCTCAACTGTCATAAAGAGCCACTGGGTGGCAGAAACTTCCTAATATTGTTTTGTGCATTGCTCAAAGGGCAAAAATATTTAGATAATGCATTGAATATTTCAGTTAGGTCTGTTTACTTACTACATGACTACTAGAATTGTATATGACAGAAACATCACAATTCAAATTAAGTGCAGTGGTCAGGCCTGTATTGTTGTTTTTCAAATGTAATTTTGTGTCTTGGGAGCAGATATTCAATGCACCCTCCTATTGGCAGTACAGTGAGCTTTCTTGTTATCATAGGTGCTGTCCCAATAATCCGATGTCCAAGAGGGAATGCTGCTGAAATGGTAGCCATCCTGTATTGTGTTTTGATTCAGTTATTTTGCCTTGCCTAACCAATATATCCCCTATATCAGGACTTCCACCTGAACCGGGTCAGTGTGGAGGAGTCTCAAGGGTCAGAGGCCAGCCCAGCTGGAGCACGGCCAAAAAAGAAAAACAAGAAGAGCTATGATCTCACTGCTGCTGATAAATTTTGGCAAAAACACAAAGGAAGGTAAACATCTACTGTTGGTAAAACTCATGTATCCAAATGGAGATCATTGTGCATTTTTAAATGTTTTTAGTTTTTTTTTTTGATTACTTCTAGTATTCTGATTTGAAATATTTTGAACTAATGACTAATTAATATGTCTGATGCAATTTCTTAAGTCTAATATAAATTATTATGTCTGATGTTGCTTTCCAAAGACCTTATTCTGTCCTAGTATAATAAAATGTTGAATAGTTCACCCAAAAATTTAAATTTTGTAGTCATTTACTCACTGAAAACAGTTGCTCATGTTGTTCCAAACGGATGAGTTTCTTTTTCTGTGAAACACAAAATAAGTCGTCAGTGGGCACCAAAATAGTAAATTTTTGTGTGAACTATCCCTTTAAGGACATTAATTAACCAACTGTACTTTCAAGCGTGTAAATGCGTGATAGGAAATCATCCCTAGTTGTCTTAATTCAAATGATTTGTCAGATGTCACAGTGTTTGTTAATATTTAAGAACATTTGCTAATATTATTTTATATCATTGCTTATTTTTGCAAAATATCATAGGTTCTGTTTTGGAAAATGTTTTAGTTTCATTCCTGCTTTCAGGACTGTATCCAGCAGTTTATACTGATATATTTACAACAGCTTAATGTCATTTATTTTTAGTCTCTTCTGCATGAAAAGCATTTAATACATTTTTGTTCACCATTTCAGTCCATTTCCTGAGGTTGCAGAAGCTGTGCAGGAGGAACTAGATACATATCGAGCCCAAGAGGATGAGGTTAAACGCCTCAAGAGTATCATGGTAGGTTAATAAGGCTGATGCAAATTTGTATATGATGGAACTGTCGCATGCTAGTTAACAGAAAATTGTGGTTTTCCTCAAAGGGCTTAGAAGGGGAGGATGATGGAGCTATTAGTATGTTGTCAGATAACACTGCCAAACTTACCTCAGCTGTCAGGTAAGAAGATCCTCGTAAAAATTAAGTAATCAAGGATTTGTTTGTGTGAAGGGCCAGTATGGTGTAGTGATCATGTTAATTATCTGCGTGCATGTTAATGATGGATTTTTTTTTTTAAATGTGTGCCAGAAATATACGTTTTTTTTTTATCCAAATGCCACTATATCCCTCAAAGCATGGCATACTGCCTTACTGTCATAAAACTTTGTTTTACCAAGAACAGCCCCATCCTGAGAGATCAAACGAAACTAATTGAATGAGTAACTCATACCCCCTTCCCCTAATGAGAGCCTATCCCACCCCGCATCCAGTCATTTTTCCAGCTTAGTGGACTGAAATACATCACATCCCCAGGGGGAAGCGGTCTGCTTTAAAGACTCTCTGTGATGCTACCACAGGATGAGATTTGTTTTCTCTCCTGCCAGCATTGTGAGGTTTCAAGAGGACACAGTTTCTTGATCTCTACAGGGTCCTTTGTAGGTTCATGGGTTTCTTATGAGTACACAGGAATGACCACTAACTATAATGATAATGATCAGTTGTTTTTCAAGTGTTACAGTGCTTTATTGTTCTGATGAGTGATCATGTTTCAGCAATAGTGAGGACAAAAACACACACACTGACAAACTCTTGTTGTTCCGGAATTGAAAGTAACCGTATGCATTTGCATAATGACTGTATAAATGTTGTTCTTATTGGTAGCTGGAACAGCAGAAGATAAGATAAGGCTGTTTCTGATCTACTACATCACTTCCCAGCAGCCCCCATCTGAGGTAAGGCCCCACGTCATGAACAAAGAGTATTCATACTATAAATAGTTATCATGGTCAGCTATATCCTCTAAGAGACTTCAGATCATAGCAACCGTAAAGGAACAATCCAGTTTCAGTTAAGTTTAGTAACAACATTTGTGGCATAATATTGATTATCACCCAAATAACTCAACTTGTCCCTTGTTTTCTTTAAAAGCATCAAAAATCAAGATTATAGTGAGGCACTTACAATGAAAGTCATTGGGGTCAATTTTGGGGTGGATTTAAGGTGTGAACCTTACTATTTTATAAAAGCACTTGCATTAATTGTTCTGTTAAAACATGTATTATTTGAGCTGTCATTTTTACAGTGGTTTTAGGCATAATGTTGGATTGGATGAAATTGGATGTAACTTTTTATAGAAAAGGTTAGTTGTACGTCTTGTGGCTGTACTAGTGAAACATCATTGCACCACTTTACCCATATTTTTCTTTTTTCTTTTTAAAGGCTGGACAAATGAAAATAAATTTTTGTGTTAATCAACATTATGCCCCGAGTGCTATTGACTGATCTTAAATTGTAATGAATGCAGTCACAGAATATTCCTTTAAGAGTCCTAGATAAATAATCCTAAAACGTAGGTTGACTGTGGTGGGCTACCCTGATGTGCGCTTTCGGTAATCCCACAGTTTATTATAATCAGTGGCAAATGCATGGATTTCATTGTTTATGGACACATGGAGCCAAAAACATTCTGTCCATTCCCTATGAAGCTCGGCCCGGGTTTTTAAACTGTACTTTCAGACTGTTTCTTCAAAAGCCTTGTTATTCTTTGGGACACATGCAGCGCAGATTTGAGGAACACTGACACCCTTTGATGCCACGGCCAAGTACTATTACTCTTGTACCTTGATAAAGCAGGATTGTACAGCTCATGGCAAGATCTCTTTTGTGGGATGTTTCTTAAATGGACGTACAAATTGGATTTTTGAGTTCTAGAGTACACTTTCGAGGGGTTGGACCCGCTGAGATGGACAATGTCCAAGTGACCACATTTCAACCCTGAAGAAAGCGCACTGGCCTGTGCTGTGGGCAAGGACTGTCATTCTCTATTATGTTTATCAGTACAGGCTGTAAAAGCTTTGACTTTCCAAAAAAGAAATGTGCTCAGAGTTTGAACTTTGTTTCTACGTCTTTTGGTTATCCTTTCTTTCATCTGTGTCCTCCTGAACCAGCGTAGGTTATTGTTGGCTGGGCATTTGCTTAAACTCCAAAAACAGTCATTGTGTTGTTTGTTTTCTGAGGCTGTAATGAGGTTGGTGACATGAAAACAGCCCTCTCACTCATGTGGTATAGACGACTCTGTCTCTAACAGGAACTAGAGTTTCTCCTTACGCCGATGAATGCTTATGGCTTGTGAGCTATATGTCATCCTTCATTCTAAAAAAACAGATCCTCTTAAACTGTTGGATTTTGAGAGTTGAGTGTTGAATAAATAAAGACAGTTTGTTCTTTTTAGGCTGATCTAGAGCAGTACAAGAAAGCCTTGGTTGATGCAGGCTGCGACTTATCCTCACTTAACTACATTAAGCAATGGAAGTAAGTTCTGGCCATTGTCAACAAACACACCATAACACAATGTCACATTTGCCTAGTTGCTACTTTAAATTTTGTAGAAAGATGAGAACAGTAGTGTTGCAACTATTATAACCTATTTTCCAGAGCTTTTACGAAGATGGCTGCAACACCAGCCAGTTACGGAAGCAGTGGAGTGAAACCAATGGGGTATGAAGCAAAACATTTATTTCTCAAAATATGAGTCCTTTTGTTGATGTAATATGTATTTTGAATGCACTGGCCTGTCATTTTTCAGACTGTTCTCACGGGTGATGAACACTGGCTCCCAGTTTGTGATGGAGGGGGTGAAAAATCTGGTTCTGAAACAGCATGTAAGTATTTACCTGGGCTGTAACTAAGGACCAGAATATCACAAAGGCTGGGCTCTTTTTACTTAGTAAGCAACCACCCAACACTGTAGCAACTGCATATCGATGTGAAAATAGTAAATACACCCAGCCCGTTTAGGTAGCATAGGAAGTAATTCGTTAAAAACGCCCAGTCAGCCTACTAACCACATAGCAATGAGCTAAAATCACCCACAAAACCGCAGAACGGTGTCCTAAAAATACCAAAAAGATCACCCTACCAATCGCAATGTACTAAAAAACACCCATAATCAAATTATACTTCAGTTTCAACATAAACTCTTGTTGTATGCATACAGATGTGCACATAGCCTTTTAAAGTATAGTCCATATAATAGTGTCTGTGAACACAGGTGCTCAACGCATGCACTAGTTTCGTCCTTGTGTAGTGTCTGCGCTGTTTCTCAAGTTATGGCTGACTGAAATGTCTTTGTACTTTAAACTGGAGCTGCAGGTATCTCTTATCTCCCTCACATAAGCATTAGTCAACAATGGGCTTCTGTTGATGTTGCTTTCTCAAGTAGTTGTTGTTGTTGTTGTTGTTGTTCTACAGCCCGGGCCAGTGACACAAATTTGTGCACAAATTAGTGCAGAAACATTTGAGGCCCATATGCAAACACAATGTACACATACTCTAGCAACATGTGCTTAAAAAACGAAGTATCCTTTCGGCTTAAAACCAGGACAGTCCTATAACAATGCACTAAAAACACACTGAACACCTACGAAACAGCAAAACAATGTGTTAAAACACCCAGAATACCCAGGCATAGTGGCAGCAACTTTTGAAATGTAAGATTGGATACACTACCAAAAAAAAAAGTTCCTTAACGAATGAAAAAATTCATTTTGGGGAAATAAAAGTGATGTATAAATGGTCAGTGGGCGAGCAGCATTTTCTAGAACCTTCACAAACGCTTTTCTGTTTTTTTGCTTCTGCTCTAGCTTCTCTACTAGTGATATTTGATATTGCGGCACTTGTGGCTTTTGTTTGATAAATTGCTTGAGATGTTCCTTATTTCTAAGTTTATTTGTATTAAAAGCATCTGCTAAATGTCTCTTTTTGGGGTTTATTATGATTCTCAATTGTTTCTTTCATAGAATTTGCCGGTTACTCGCATCTTGGACAACTTGATGGAAATGAAGTCAAACCCGGTGAGCGCCCTTGTCTGTTTCTCCCTTTCGTCACAAACTTTCATCTTCTCCCTCATAAGCACAAGTGTGACCCTGGACCACAAAACCAGTCTTAAGTCGCTTGGGTATATTTTTTAGCAATAGCCAAAAAAACACAGGGATTTTTCTTTTATGCCAAAAATCATTAGGATATTAAGTAAAGATCATGTTCCATGAAGATATTTTGTACATTTCCTACCGTAAATATATCAAAACTTAATTTTTGATTAGTAACATGCATTGCTAAGAACTTCATTTTGACAACTTTAAAGGCGATTTTCTATTTTTATTTTTTTGCACCCTCAGATTCCAGATTTTCAAATAAGTTGTATCTCGGCCAAATATTGTCCTATCCTAACAAACCATACGTCAATGGAAAGCTTATTTATTCAGCTTTCAGACAATGTATATACATCTCAAATTTTAAAAAATTGCCCGTTATGACTGGTTTTGTGGTCCAGGATCGCAAATATTAAACTTTTTTTGCTGATTTATTAGTATGACTCTCTTGCAGTAATTAAGATTAATGTTGATGGTTAGCTAAAAGCCTAAATCCAAAAATGTTTAAAGATCATTAGTGTATTTGTGTCCGGTGTGCACATGGTATTGTGTATCGCCATGGCTGACTGCTTTACTTCCCACTGCGAATTAAAGCGTATGACTCTGCAGCGCTATGGGACACTGAACGAGGCACTCAAGAGGCACTTTGAGTGTGCCGAGACCTCAATCCAGGCAATCTGAGCTGCACTGTTAATGCGACTGTCTCAGCCAGGGGAACACCTGTGGAGAGAGAGGGAGAGGCTTTCTAGTGAGTGAACCCGCAGCACAATGTATTAAGTTTCTAGGGCTGAGGGATTTGGAAGCAGTCCATTTGGGCTTTTCACCTTTGTGAGGTGGAACAAAGGTGCAAACCCCTCATGAGAGCAGCACTAGGGGACGTCTCTACAGAAGCCGAAGGTATTTCATCGATAATGGGATTGTGTTCTGCTACACTCGTGGATCTCATTCTCTGCAAAACGTCTGTATATGAAGCATCGGGTATTTGAACATACTGGCTGTTTTCAAGTTATAATTGGATAGCCTTGAAGGAAAAATCAGCTTTGAAAATTTCTCCCGATGCTTTGAAATCAACTAACTGCCGGGATGGTGCGGGGGGAATGATTGATGCTGATTTTTTATAAATGTGGAATTACCACAGAAGAGATGATGTGGCAAATCTTTGACAGCGCCCTCGTAGTATGACTTCCAGGACTCCTCTCTATTTAGACATCTTGAATTCTCCCTAAGCGCACTTCCAAGAACTGTCCCAATGCGTTTTAAGTATAAAGCGACAGCTAGCTGACATAGTAGCTCTTGCAATCATCCGCTTGTGTAACTGCAACCTTTTAGCTTCCCCCTCTAGTTCCTGGACATAAAGACCATATTTCCTTCTGAAACACCCTCAGGGTCCCTCTGATCTTCTCGATCTCAAATCGCTGGGGTGGACAGATTGCCGTATCCTGTTACCGACTGGAAATGCTTCCCCTTCACTGCCCATAAACTTGAATTGAACATAACTGTATTATCATTTTCTCAGCTACTGAAATTTCAGTGCCCTGCACAATACGGCTGTTATTGGGAAAGTTGGGCGGCTGAGCGCTACAGAATCTCCTGCCTCCGCCGCTCGTCAGATAGTCCTCGCAGGTGGGCCTGTGCAACAAGGTTGCAATAGTGTGTTCTGCACTCACTATTAATATTGAGCTTCAATACCCAACGAGGGTAAACAGATAGCAGAAAAATCTGGAGCATTTCACCATTTGGAAATGCAGTGGGGCACTTCTTTCAGTGAGCTGACGGCAACGTATTTCTTCCCAGAATGAAGAAAGCGCCAGGCCTGCCAGGCCGGGCTGACTGAAGTCCCGTGGGGGAAGAGACAGGCTTGGCCCATCCGATACGGAGAATGAGGAAGTAGGAGGCCATTGGCCTTCGCCTCAGGCTCCGCCGCTCGTCAGATAGTCCTCGCAGGTGGGCCTGTGCAACAAGGTTGCAATAGTGTGTTCTGCACTCACTATTAATATTGAGCTTCAATACCCAACGAGGGTAAACAGATAGCAGAAAAATCTGGAGCATTTCACCATTTGGAAATGCAGTGGGGCACTTCTTTCAGTGAGCTGACGGCAACGTATTTCTTCCCAGAATGAAGAAAGCGCCAGGCCGGGCTGACTGAAGTCCCGTGGGGGAAGAGACAGGCTTGGCCCATCCGATACGGAGAATGAGGAAGTAGGAGGCCATTGGCCTTCGCCTCAGAGACAGCTCTCCTCAATTTGTGTCAAGACTCTTCAAAGCAGAGAGATGATAATCTTGCTTTTTGAGTCAAACTGGAGGACATTTTACTGTTTGAGGCTTCTTGAACCTTCTCAGATGAATGGCTGCTGGGAAGCATTAGGTCTTGATAAGCGTTTAATGTAGATGGATGAGGTGGTTTTTAGGAGATGGTGATGTGGGGAGGGTGCGCTGAGTGTTATTTAATCCTTAATTTACTTGCGCGCTCTGTAATCCTTAATGTTATGTGTTGTGATTTTGTAGGAGACTGATGACTACAGATACTTCGATCCCAAGATGCTTCGCGGAAGCGAGAGGTAGGCTCCTTATATTTTCAGATGATACATCTTTGTGTTTGACTTGGTCCCGCTGTATTCAAATATTATGTTAAAGGCATTTGATCCATGGAGGTATTCAAAATCGCTTGTGTCTTTATTACATACACATAAGGCAGTATTGAAGTTAGGTAAATAACGGATCTGCACATCCTTGCCAAAGCTGTAACTTTCCACTAAAAATATTTATAATATAAGATCTATAATTTTATTTCACCGCAAATATTGGCTATTTTTGCTCTCTGCCAGTGAGGATGAATTAATCCTAACTGTTTAACTCCCTCAGCTCCATTCCAAGGAACAAGAACCCCTTTCAAGAGGTGAGTATAAAAAGCAATGCCGAGATCTGATTGTTCTGATTTAGCACCATGTGGATGTTGATACGTTATCTTAACGATTTGGCGCCCATGCACTGTAACCTGGCGGGGTTAATCTATGGTACAGATAGGCTTCTATTCCTAGTGAAGATTAGGCCTTGCTGCAGACAGAGTGAGCTGGAAACCCAGTGTGTCTGAGCTCACATCTGTAGGAGGGCCATTTGAGTCCTTCTGGGAAATATTACAGGGTTTTATTTAATATAGAGCATTTGTACAGGTTGCATTGAAATTCACGCACTATTGAGCTTTAACAGGCGATGACACATTTTCATTTCACAGGCCATCGTCTTTGTCGTTGGTGGGGGCAATTACATAGAGTATCAAAATCTTGTTGACTACACAAAGGTATGACTGCACACATATTGACATGTGCTACAAGAACTTGGTTTGCTTATGAAAATGAGTGTAATGATTTCCTTCTCTACAGGCCAGGCAAGGGAAGCGGGTTCTTTATGGCTGTAGTGAGCTTTTCAATGCAGCCCAGTTCATGAAACAGGTATGATCACTTCCCTTACTGCATAAACCTAGATGAAGTGCATGTTATGAAAAACAGGATTTTTAAATGTAACATTCAAGATGTCAGTCACCCGATTTGCATCGCACTTCAGATAATAATACAAATTTATAAACACGTTTTCAGATACAATGACAGAATTTAGTGAAAAATCAGATGCTTCGCAATCCATTGCTCTAAAATCCAACCGATTATCCTTGAGTTGGAGGGAGCAGCACTGCTTTGAGTGTCTTGGAATGCTTTTTGCTGCTTGAAGCAAATCTATGTTGTACTTTGTCTCAACAAAATTGACACCAAGTCATAATGTGCCTTTCCCTCTGTAAATATTTTTTAAACATTTTGCCTAGTTTTTTCCCCCCCACATCAATTTCTTGTTAATATACTTTTACCCCTTTGCTCTGAGTGAAAAAGAGGGAAGTGTGTCTTGCTTCTCCCAAATCTTTCTGTGGTCTTATATGAACTAATATGACACTGACTGTGTGCTGAACAATTATTCAGTAGTAATCCTACTTTTGTTTAAATGTTGATGTGATTATGCAGTATCAGAGCGGTTAAGACTAAACTCATTGATTTCTCCACAGCTCTCCCAGCTTTCATTTCACAGGCCATCGTCTTTGTCGTTGGTGGGGGCAATTACATAGAGTATCAAAATCTTGTTGACTACACAAAGGTATGACTGCACACATATTGACATGTGCTACAAGAACTTGGTTTGCTTATGAAAATGAGTGTAATGATTTCCTTCTCTACAGGCCAGGCAAGGGAAGCGGGTTCTTTATGGCTGTAGGGAGCTTTTCAATGCAGCCCAGTTCATGAAACAGGTATGATCACTTCCCTTACTGCATAAACCTAGATGAAGTGCATGTTATGAAAAACAGGATTTTTAAATGTAACATTCAAGATGTCAGTCACCCGATTTGCATCGCACTTCAGATAATAATACAAATTTATAAACACGTTTTCAGATACAATGACAGAATTTAGTGAAAAATCAGATGCTTCGCAATCCATTGCTCTAAAATCCAACCGATTATCCTTGAGTTGGAGGGAGCAGCACTGCTTTGAGTGTCTTGGAATGCTTTTTGCTGCTTGAAGCAAATCTATGTTGTACTTTGTCTCAACAAAATTGACACCAAGTCATAATGTGCCTTTCCCTCTGTAAATATTTTTTAAACATTTTGCCTAGTTTTTCCCCCCCACATCAATTTCTTGTTAATATACTTTTACCCCTTTGCTCTGAGTGAAAAAGAGGGAAGTGTGTCTTGCTTCTCCCAAATCTTTCTGTGGTATTATATGAACTAATATGACACTGACTGTGTGCTGAACAATTATTCAGTAGTAATCCTACTTTTGTTTAAATGTTGATGTGATTATGCAGTATCAGAGCGGTTAAGACTAAACTCATTGATTTCTCCACAGCTCTCCCAGCTTGGTCAGAAATAGGAGGAGCATTGAAGTCCAGTTATCCACCCTTCTCAAAACTGAAATCAAGATCTTTTCTGTTGTATTCCATTAAAACCCCTCTAACTTCAGAATCACTCATATTCCATGTACTTTATACTGTTTTCCTATACTATTTAATTCAATACTAAAGGTTCCCAACAATAAAGTCTTACGCATCAATTGCACTTTGTTTTCTTTCTATGAGTCTACTTTGGGTCATCAGCATATGATTTAGTCATGCCTCATCATGGGCTTATTGACGTCGGGTGAGTTCAAGAGTAGAGGTAAATGCCTTAAGTGGTTTGGTGACTGACAAGAACTGTCCCAAAAATCTCAGTCTCTAAAGTCTTTAACAAGATAAGGAGATTACACTTGGTCTTGTTCAACACTGGTGCTCTATTCCAGTTCAGATGTTTGCTTAAGTGTAGATTGAGTGAATTCGGTGTAGTCTGCTAGATCTACCACCAATGAAGAGCGCAAGACCGTGAACCCTAGCAAACGTCGCCCCCTGAGATGAGTCCAACCTAACGATTTTCATTGAAGATGGACATCCACAATATTCTTCCCTCAAATGTCACAGTCTACCGAGTGCCGGATGGAAAAGAAACTGCTATTGGTGTCTATTTGGTGATACTAGGTAAGGTCTGGTCTAATTGCATTGAATTCTCTGTAAGTTACTATGATTTGTTTCTTTTTGAGCTACGCTATGTAGAAATATGTCATGTGAGAATAAAGAATCAGTGAATTTTACATTTCTTTTTTGATAGGATGGCTTTCTTGGATTGGAAATGGGGTTGTAATATTGCTTTTAACCAAGCAAAGAAAGTCTCTCGAACCACAGGATTTCTTGACTCTCAACCTTGCCGTTTCTGATGCCAGCATTGCTATTTTTGGTTATTCTCGTGGAATCCTTGAGGTTTTTGATGTGCTCAGAGATGACGGCTATCTTATAAAGACATTTTGGACTTGCAAGGTAAGGAGATGATACTCGCTCATGCTACCTTAAAACTGTTTGACTGACTTTCTTCTGTGGAATACAAAAGAAGATAATCTGATTTTTTTTTTTTTACGTGCTTTAGAAATTAAAGGGGTCAAATGTGTTTTGAACCCAATTAGATATCACTGTATGGACAAAAACATTTATTGAATGAAATATCTTTTTATCATCCACAGAGTAAAGGAAGTCAAACAACTTTAGAACGACATGAGGTGATAAAAGAATTTTGAGATCCTCCAGATGAATTCAATTACAAAGTTCAAATGATCAAGTGCCTTTAAGCATGATTCCCTTCAGTTCACGTCACTGAATGCTCTTAGAGAACATCACAGTATCTGGTGTGAGAGGTCCATCACTGTGTTCCCCTCGCAGTCTGGCAGGTGGTGTTATGAGGCAGGAGAGGCTGAAGTGATTAATTAGTTGTTCCAAGTACACGGGCACGTGTCCTTTTATCCCCTAATCTTGCTGACTTGTTCCCCAGGGCCTGGTTAGTGGGTGATGAGACAAGTCAGAGCGATTACTGCCTCAGGTTTGCAGAGAATGCCAGACCTGCTTGCAATGTATAAGATGTTGTGTCTTGGCCAGGTGGACGGATTCCTAATCCTGCTCTTCGGACTCATCAGCATCAACACACTGACAGCCATCAGTGTCATCCGCTACATCAAAGGTTGCCAGCCTCAGCATGGTATGCTCTATCTTGGCCAAACCTACTGGGTTATTATACCTTTGTATAGCTGCTACCCATATTTAGTCCAGGAGCTGATGCTGTGGAGCTCATGCACTTAAAGCTGCTCTGTAATTACATTACAAAATCTATGTCAAATCAATCCCCCCCCACATTTTTTCAGTGTTTTGTGTGGTCTCCAACAGACTATTGGAGTACAAATTAGCTTCATACATTACTCTTAGAGAGTTTAGGGAAGGGTGCCATATAATTACCAAATTCTAGGACAGGGGTGCTATGTGGTCTGCCAAGAAATTGATTTGAAAAAAGTAGATTTTACAAAAAAAATTGTTTTAACATGTTTTGTAATGTATTAATTAAATTCACAGTCTGTAACTTTTTTTTGTGTTCAAAATTTACAAAATGTATATAATAATCGAATACACCATGAACCCATTTTCCAAACCGTGTTTTTGGCTTGTCCTGAATCACTACACCTATAATACGTGTTTATATTCGGACTATTTTTCTATTACTATTCGTCATAGACATAAACGGAGAGAAGTAGCTCCGGCTACAATGTTCTTCCGCAAGACGCACTCAGTTCTATTTATTAACCGCTAGAGCGCCAAAAGTTACGGACTGCAGCTTTAAATATATTACTATTTATTTTAAACTACCATTCATATATAAAACATTTATGAATAAAAATGTGATATTAAATTATATTATTAGTTTCATTTTGCTTTCTAAAGTTGTTAATTGATTATAATTTATTTAAAATAAATAATCAATAAACTAGACCATCCATATAGTAATCAACAGAATACAAATGTAAATAAATAAAAACAGCTTACATTATTATTAATTCTGAAAAATAATTTAATATATAGTTTGCATAATAGGACTAGGAGTTATAATTCCAATAAGCCCCTAGTGGAATTTGGGAAATGTGTTTATAAATGATATATGTTGTGAGTAAAATATAAAAAAAATTTCATGTGTTCATTACTCACACAGTATAAGTGGATCTTTATGCATAACATTTATAGCTGCCTCTATATTTTAGGAAAGGGATCCCTCACAAGGGGATCATCTAATTTGGGGGTCCTTGGCATTAAAAAGTTTGAAACGCAGTATGATTTACAGTAGGACACAGTGATCTGACCCAAACAAATTTGGAAACCAGGAAATCCTGTTCGTTTGAAGGATAAATGGTTGGGAACCAGGTTCTTCCAAGACCTGAAATCCTCTGAAGTTGAGTTTTTGATAAATCTAGAACCATGTTATTTTTGCTTTTTTTTTTTTTTTTTAAGCTCATTAGCCTTTGCTGCACAAATACTAGATAAATCAGCATGATTATGCTATGAGGACTGTGCTGATGCGGGTGTTTCTGCCATGTTCTTCAGCTCATCACGTCAGCAAGCGTAATATCTGCTTGGTCATAGCTGCTATCTGGCTGTGCTCTCTGTTCTGGGCTGGAGCTCCGCTTCTGGGCTGGGGCAGTTACAGAGGTAGGACTCAAACAAGGACGTTTACCATCTTTAGAAATGAGTTGAAATCGAGATCACTGAAGTTCATTTCTTCTGCAGCTCATGGGTATGGCACGTGCGAAATCGACTGGACACAAGCGCTGTACTCGGTTCCGGTCAAGCTCTACGTCATCAGCATTTTCTTCTTCAACTTCTTTGTGCCACTGTTTGTCATAGTTTTTACATATGTGTCCATCATCCGCACAGTCAACTCCAGCCACAAGTCCAGTCGGGGAGGAGATATCAGCGAGAGGCAGAGAAAGATTGAACGTAGCATCACACGGGTACAACCGTCGCCCCATAAATTCCCATCAATCATCAAACCGAAGACTAATGCAGAAAGTTATGCATTTATGTACGTGTCGTTCTGTGTTTCTCGCTCCAGGTTTCCCTCATTCTGTGTGCTGCCTTCCTGTTGGCCTGGTCCCCGTATGCAGTCATTTCCATGTGGTCGGCCTGGGGTTACCAAATACCCCCACTCAACAGCATCCTGGCCAGCCTCTTTGCCAAGTCAGCGAGTTTCTACAATCCGTTTATCTACATTGGCATGAGCTCTAAGTTCCGGAAGGACCTGCAGGCTCTGTTCTACTGCCTCAGACCCACATCAGCGCACAGGCACACCCCTCCTGTGCCATTGGCCCAGGCTGGTGATGTGCAGCTCGACGTCGACGGCTTTAAGGAGGATGAGCCAGTGGACCATAATGCAAGTGAAAACATACAGGAGGGAAAGGCAGAGAGTTCTCCTGAATCAGAAAGCCAGCTTAGGCCCTTACCAGAGTCCAGCAGGAGTGTCAGTCCTCATGGATTAATGAGGAAACTCAGCAACTCTGGAAGACTTTAGCTGTCTTTTATGTTAGTTTATGTCCTCTGAATGTTTATATATGATCATGAGAATAATATTAGGATAATACAGTACATTCACTGTCTCTATTATCTTAATTTCACAACAAATAGGTACAGAATGGGACACCAGGCTACTGGTGAGTCACATTGTCTGCAAATGCTTCATGTTGAGCGTGAGGTCATTGTGTGACTCCAATAAATTTGAGGTCAAAGGTTGTATGTCACTTTATCTCTGTCTCTGATGCTTGTAAAGTGTTGACACATTTAATGGCACGTCTGCATTACATCCTCCCCAATTTAGGGTTGTTGAAGATTCTTCTCCCTTCCCAGTACATCAATCACAATCTTGAATTAAAAAAAAAAAGAATAATGATATTAAGGAAGGAACAAAATACTTCTGGACGAGGAAAGGTCAAAATAAAATGATGCACTACCTAAGATGGAAAGAATCAAACTTTTGAAGAATGAGAAAGTAAACAACTCTCTTGCTAACCAAAAACAGGAGAAAATAAAATACAGACTGCAAAAACAATGGAACAGACCTCCCTACAGCTTTCCTAAAAACTTCAGATTTTTATAACAAAATCCATATATTAAAAAAATCAGAGTTTTATACTTTTACTTGTGGCACCAAAAATTCATTAAAGAGGAGTAACATCTGGGGAAGGAGAAAGGATCTCAGGAATGGTTCCTCTGCTAGTGTTATTTTAGTGTCATTAAAATAAAATAATACTACATTTATAAAGCTATATATATATATAATCCAACTTCATTCTCCCAGCCACCAAACTTAATACGGCCATAATCAGTGGTGAGATTTTAAACTCTATAATCAGCGAAGCACCAGCAGGAATCGTGGTGTGTACTATTCTTCTGTTCTATGCAAGGTTGTAATTTTTTTTGTGACCTATGAGGTCTGATTTGTTTGTTATTAATCGGTTTGTTCTGAAACTAGTTACTGATCTTGTCTGTTCTTGGAATTATGACTCTGGATTGTGTGACTGTTCCTGTACCTCTAGGATGGGCTGGAGGAACCAGAGCAGGAGGGTTCACAAACTGATCCTGGTGACTGCTCAGTAAGAATGTCCCGTCTCTCCACAAGCATCCTCAGCTGAGTCCCTGATTGACCAGTCTGTAATGGCAGAAGTCAGAATGTACTTTATTGC